GACCCAAGCATCTAAGCTTACATCTTAAGGAGCCAGAAAATGAGTACATTAAAACCCTAAGTAAACAGAAGAAAATAGAGGTACAAGCAGCAATCAAAGAAATAGAAAACAAAGAAACAACGGGGAAAATATTTAAGAAACCAAAAGCTGGTTCTTTGAAACATAAATAAAATTGACAAAAATCTAACTACACTAACAAAGATAAAGAGAGAGAAAGCGCAAATTGGCCATATTAAGAACACCTTATAGACAATAAAATAAGGAAACATTATGAACAGGTCTATGCCAATAAATTAGACAATTATACGAAATGGACAAATTCCTTGAAAGACGCAAATGGCCAAAACTAACACAAGAAATGTAGAAATTGGAACAGCCCAGCTTCTGTTAAGGTTTCTCAGTCCCCAATCCCTCTTCTTGACCTGCTTTGTGAGACTGCAGCTGGGCCCTGGAAACATGTCTCTCTTGTTGGGTAGCAGAGAGGTGCTGGAGGAGGAGCTTGCCGTCCTGTCCCAGGGTGTTTTCCCTCCTTGCCCCTGTGGTGTGTGGCCAGTGGGAGCATTTGGCACACTGTGACTCACCCCTTCCAGGAGGGCTGGGACGAGCAGTGGTATTCACCCTCCAGTGATGTTCCCCAACACCCCCCGTGGTTTCCCAGAAGTTTCACCGGCACCACAAAGGGGTAACTTTCCAGGGAGTTTCAGGGGTAGCCCAGGAGGCAGCTTGTCTATGTTCCTCACACACCCCAGAGGGTGGTTTCCTGCCTGTCAGCCCAGGATTCAGCATCTCAGCGAACTTCTATGCCATCCACAGCCACACCATCTCTACTAGACCGAGTCTCAGCTTTGCAAAGAAGCCCTCGTCCAAATTTGCCCCTTCCTTGAGTACTCTGCCCTTGCCGATAAGTGGCCGGTCTCTATACCCGCTATTTCTGTAACCTTTGGAATTCTCATTACCCCTTAGTAGTTAATCCCATTACCAGTTAATAACTTCGTTTTTTCTGGTGTGGCTTCTGTCCTGGACTGTGACTGATACCAGTGATAGAGTCTAAGATAGAAGAACCTCACAGAGTGTTTCAGAAGATAAAAGAGGTAAGGAAGGGACACTTCCCAAATGATTTTATGAGGTTGTTACCAAAACCAGACAAAAATAGAAAAACAAACAAAAAAATAAAAAACTGGACCGACATTCTGCATAAATGTAGACATAAAAACCTTTAACCAAATATTGGCAAATCAAATCCACTAATATATAAACGAAGAAATAAACCCCACTTGTCATATGTCAGGAACACAAAGTTGCTTTAATGTTTGAAAATCAAACAAAATGATGTACTACCTTAATAGAAGAAAGGAGAAAAATCATTTAATCACTTAATGGTGAGACATTTTCCCCCTTAAGATCATGAAAAGGCAAGAATGTCTGCTCTTCCCACTTTTTCTCTATGTTGTTCTGAAGTCCCAACCAGTGCAATAAGGCAGAAATAAAGGCAGACATATTGCAAGAGAAGAAATCCTATCTGTTTCACAGATGACACTGTGTAGGTAGAAAATCCTAAAGAATTTACAAAAAAAAAAAAGCTAGTAGAATGAGTAATTTAGCAGTGTGGTTGGACTGCAGGTCAACAGAAGAAAAGCAAGTGTATTCTGAAATATGTGTATTGTAGAAATGTATTGTGATGCACACAACAAACAACTGAGAAATGAAATAAAAAATATCATTCACAGCATCAAAAAAATCACAAAATAATAAATTTAATAAAATACGTGCAAAACCTGTACCCTACAGAAAACTACAGAAATGGCTCAAATTATGGAAAGCCTAAAAATGTGGAGATGGAACATGTTCATGGATTGAAGGGCCAATATTACAAAGATATCCATTCTCTCCAAATTGATCTGTAATTTTAATGTAATCCCAAATAAAAATCGTGGAAGCTCTTTGCAGATATATACAAGGCGAGTCTAAAATATATATGGAAACTTCGCGTTTACCTGGATTAGACAAAACAATTTTGAAGAAGTTGGGAGGATTTAAACGGAGTTCCACACTGACTCTCAAGCTACTGTAATGAAGACAGTGTGGCATTTGCCTAAGGACAGCTATGTAGATCAATACAACAGAATGGAGAATTTATTTCTGGAGGTACACAGTGATAGGCAATTGATTTTTCACAAAGGATAGTGTTTTCAACAAATGATATTGGAAAAACTGAATATCCATACAGGAAAAAAAAAAAATGAATGTCAAACCTCACACCTCTCAGCATATGCCAAAAAAAATGCAAAATGGATCACAGACTGAATATAGAAACTAAAAGTATAACACTTATACAAGAAAAAAAGGGTAAGATCCTTATGAATTTAGAATAGACAAAGATTTCTTAGGATGCAAAAAAAAAAACCAAACAAACCCACAAACAAGCAAAAAAACCCAAACAAACAAACAACGGAAAAACAAAACCACCTACCATAAAGGAAAAAAATAAACTGCACTTCCAAATCAAAATTTTGCATTCTTGAAATGATACATACTTGGAGAAAACAATTTATAAAACATATATCTGAGTTTTAAAATTGAATCTGAGGGGCTCCTGGGTGGCGCAGTCGGTTAAGCGTCCGACTTCAGCCAGGTCACGATCTCGCGGTCCGTGAGTTCGAGCCCCGCGTCGGGCTCTGGGCTGACAGCTCGGAGCCTGGAGCCTGTTTCCGATTCTGTGGCTCCCTCTCTCTCTGCCCCTCCCCCGTTCATGCTCTGTCTCTCTCTGTCCCAAAAATAAATAAACATTGAAAAAAAAATAAATAAATAAAAGGTCTTGACCGACATTTAAAATTGAATCTGAAATATATAAAGAGCTCTTAATAAGACAGGAAACCTAATTTTTAAAATGAGCAAAAGGTACACAGACATTTCACAAAAGAAAACACATGAGTGACACAGAAGTCCGTGAAAAGATGCTCAACGTCTCATGCACTGTCACACACCCACACACCTGAAATCAGGCGGAGTAACAACATGAAGCTTTGGCGAGAGTGTGAAGCAACTGCAACTCTCAAACACGCTGCTGGGAGTGTAAAATCATACAGTCATTGTGGGAAACAGCTTAGCAGCTTCATATAAAGTTATACAGACACTCCCCTAAAGATCCAGCAATTTCACTCTTTGGTACTTATTAAGAAATGAAAACACACGTCCACACAGAGACTCATACACAAATGTTCGTGACAGGTTTATTTGCAACACCAGAAAGTGGGAGAAGGGGATGACAAACGGTCGCAGAACCATACAATGGAATATTCTTTGACATAAGGAGCAAACCGTTGATATAAACAGCAACATAGACAAATCTCAAAGCATTCTGCTGAATTAAAGAATTAATTAAAGAATTAAAGAAACTGAATTAAAGCATTCTGCTGAATTAAAGCAAGGACTACATAGTGGATGATGCCACTTTTATAACGTTTTAGAACAAGGAAAATTTATCAGCATCAATAGAAATCAGATCGATGGTTGCCTGAGACGGGTGCGGGTGAGAGGAAATTACGATAGGTGCACATGAGAACTTTCTGGGGGTAACAGAAATGTTCCACATCTTAGTTGGGGTGTTGGTTTTGTGGGTATTTCCACCTACCAAGGCTCACTGAACTGTACACTTAAAATGAGAACATTTTATCGTATGTGAATTCTGCCACAATAAACTTAAAAACATACGTAGAGACCGGAATGGAAATCACTTAAGACTTGGTTTTAATTTAAAATTTTTCTCTGTAATCTGATTTATTCTAATATTTACCTTCTTATTATAATAGAAATAGACAACTTTGTTAATTTCACCTATGTTGAACTATTACAAATTCCAAAATTGCAGAATTAGTCCCGTGAAGCTCTGAACTTTCATTATAAAAGAATTCCAGAATTTACTTTATCGACATGAATGATGTGAGTTGTTTCTAGGATGTCTATTAATGCTTAGATATCAATTACACTGCATGAGAAATATGCTCCCCATACTTAAATACAAACACATTTGTACTTTAATGAAATAAATGCATCAAATCACACAATATTAGAGAATGATCCAATTCTATGTACCAGCAGAAGCTTAGTGTTCCCCTTCTTCCGAGAGCAAAGACAAAATAATTCGTTAGCTGTTTTCGTCTGTCATCAGTGACACACAAGACAGACCACGAAAGGCACAATGAGATAAGACACAAGAAAACTGCTACAATATCATCTTGAGAGCCACGTGCAGCACTGGCTAGGTGGGATTCTCTTCTTCCTTCCAGCCACCTGGGAAGATGTTCTCAGAGAGTTTTAAGGGTTACACTAAAAGCTGGATCTAAAAGACTTAAAAACTGCAGATAACCCAATTAATCTGCTCACATTTATTACTGCAGAAGTAGATTTAGAGGTAGTTTATTAATGAGGCATTTTTCAAATCATCCACTCATCTATAATTCAAAAGCATCACTGTAAAAAGGAAAAGAAAAAATACTCTTTATAGAGTGTAAGATTAACATGTTGAAGTGGTTTTCAAAAAGCAGCATTTCCAGTGTTCTTCAGCTCCTTCTGGGGCGGCATTACCTCCAGACGAGGCCCTCAGCTCAGTCAGACACACAGTCCACCTCTGTGAAGATCAAGTCACTGCCCTCTGCACGAGCCCTTGCACACAAGATGAAGAAAGCGAGCTCAGCATTAAAGCCAAGGCTTCAAGGTGTGAACCACCCAAACCACCCCTAACAACAGGACCCCTGTACAGCTTGAACTTTAGGGGCCATATCGGGTAATGTTACAGATTCACGTGTCTCCCCTCGGCATTAGTTTTAAAAATATCTTCCAGAAGATCAAGCAAAAATATATTTCTCTCCCCATTTACTCTTCACTATTTTTAGTCTCTGAGAGGCTCATGTATTGATCCATCAAGGCAAGAATTGGCTCTGAACCAAAACCAAAAAGAAAGAAAGAAAATCCAAGGAGTGTTCTACGGTGCTCTGTGAATATTAGCTTGTGGCTTCCACATGAAAGTTGTCAAACTGTGCAAATTCAAAAGAGTGAGTTCCAATCGCGGCCCAGCCATTCTTCGGGAAACTCACAGGGATATTCTTCCAGACAGACTTGCCATTCAACGTGCCAGAGGAGAAACGGCCCTGGAGGAAAGACAAATGTACCCCTTGAAGACGTATGAAAATGATCCTCTGAGGTCTGTTTCTTAATACGTGTGGCCAATCTATTCCGTGGAGCGAACATCCTTCTCACTTAAGACCATGGCAAAACACAATTCCACAGGTTTGAGCGCAAGTTTGAAATACAGGAAATATTCTCTGAGGAAATTCTTACCTACTTATGTAAATAGTTTCCGAAGCACAAGGAATAAATACCTTGATATTTCCTTGTCCCCCACCAAAATGCTCTAAACCAACAGAAATGTAAAACTTTTCCTAACTTTGTAAAGTTTTAAACAAAAGCCCACTGAAAGAAAGAAACATTTGTAATTTGCAAGTACGTGCATGCTCACATGTTGTGGCTAACGGCCACCAGCTTTTCGGACGTGACTACCGGATCCAAAGCTTCCGTTTACCTAAATCCGTTTTGTTCCATGTACAAATTATCACCTCAAAGTCATATGGAGAGCCCACCCTCAAGTTATAAAACTAGGAACCGTCAGTTAAACTGATGTTGGGGTGGGAGGGTCAGGGGTAAGAAGGGAGACGTCCAGAGAAATGAATGACTTACTGGTCACCGACACAGAAAGACAAAAATAACTCCCTCAGATAGTGGCCATTCCTACCTAGCCAAGTGCCTGGCACACAGGGGAAAATAAATGCCAGCTCTTGTCATCATTATTATAGCACATTTACGAGCGTATCAACTGCAGCTGAACATTTAAAAGTAGCTAATTTCAAAGGGTGAAGAGCTAACGATCCAAAGCACTGGGCTACGGATCAAAAGAAAACCTGTTTTTAGGTCACAGAATTGCAGTTCAATGGGTGTTCGTTTCGCCCTTTCATGTTACGGAGGGAGATACTGAGACGTGAGATTAAAAGTCAAAATCAGATTCACCAGCAGGGCTACAACTTGAATCATAGCTGCCCAACTCCACATTCAGGGCCGCACATATTCCCACCAGCACATGCGTGCACAGCCACACGTGTGCACAGCCACATGCAGCTCTCCAAGTGCTCACTGAACACCTTCCACCGCTAGGCCAACGGGGGGTATTAACACTGAGCCAATACGTAGCCATAGCGCGCAAGCATACATCACTTCCTCCTCCCCACCCCTGCCCTCTGGCCACTGGGCTGCTCCACACACGAGGCCTGTCACCAGCAGGGTCCCTCCCACGAGGCCTGTCACCAGCAGGGTCCCTCCCACGAGGCCTGTCACCAGCAGGGTCCCTCACACGAGGCCTGTCACCAGCAGGGTCCCTCACATGAGGCCTGTCACCAGCAGGGTCCTCTGCTCAAGGTGCTCTTCCCATCGGGCAGGGCTCAGCTCAAAGCGCACCAGCTCCGAGAGCATCTCCCCTGCCTCTCTAACTAGACACTCTGGACAGTGGAGCTCGTTCACCTCACTGTCCCGTTTTGTCTTCACCATGTGACTAACTGATTTGGGTTGTTTTTACCGTCTTAGAACCAGAGGCAGCCAACTATGGCCCACAAGCCAGCCACCTGTTTCTATAAATAAAATGTTATCGGAACAAAGCCACACGCGTCCATTTATCTACTGTCCGTGGCTGCTGTCTCACTACAAAAGCAGAGTTGAGTAAAGTTGCACAGACTACATGGCCCACGAAGCCTAAAATATTTACTGTCTGGCCCCTTACAAAGGGTTTGCCAACCCCTGCCCTAGAGAATACAGGCTCCAGGAGAGCAGGAACCGTGTGTGTCTTCATTACTGCTGCATCCCTTACCACCTAGAAAAGGACACATAAGAGGTGCTTCATAGAAATGTGTGGAATGAAACAATAAGACACATTTAACCCCAAACAACCTTACAGAAGTTATGTCCCTTTTACAGACCAGGAAACAGAAGCTCAAAGAAATGAAATAACTTTCGGGGAGTCAGGATGCATCAGCAAGGAAATATGAATGCTGCTCTGCTTGGTTCAAACATGCCTACTGCTAAGAATATTCACTCGAGTCAAGAAGTGCTTACCATGTAACAAGTACCGTACCAAACGCTCATATATATAATCTCATTTGATCTTCATAGGAAGGATATGATATTATGGATATTCCTGATATTATGGACGGGAAAACAAAAGCTGAGCAACATAAAACACTTGCAGGTGGAACATAGTAAGGCTTCAGTCTATCGCTCTAACCACCACCTCAGTAGTGCTGAGAAGCAGTGAAAGAGGGCCAAGGACAAAATGATATAAAATCCTCCTAAATGCCGGTCTCGGGGATGGTAAAAGGAGGAAAACAAACACTGAAGCTGGCCTCACAGTGCTTTCAGTCTGATACACAGCCTGTGGGCTAGTTTCAAACCAGATCTGTTACCGGTAAAGCTGTCGTCGTCTGTGATTATGGATCTACAGTGGGGAGAGAAACACGATAGGAAGAGGCAAGCTGAGGGACAACTGGTTATTTTAACTGGAAAACCATGACCTTCATAATTTCGCTAATGCCAGTACCTGGCATGTAGGTGACCAATGAAAGACTTAAGTAAAAAAATATAAAAATCCTCATATTAGCTGTAATTTGGAAAATGGACCATCGAACAAGATGTTGTTTTGCTTTGCCTTTTCATTCATGCAAAAAACTATTTGCCAAGTGCTATTAAAGGACTGGGAATTTAGGATGAACAAGAAAGGCAAGGCCCCCGTTCCATGGAGCTTACGCTCTAGCGGGAGACATACCCACCAACTCACACAATAAAGAAAAGCTAAGCGGTACAAGGCGTGTGAAGAACTCAACCAGGAGACAGGGGCTTGACCAGACTGCAGAGTGGGAGCAGGCCTCGAAGTGCCCAGAGTTGAAACGCGAGAGGGAAGCCGGGTGCTCCCGGCCGACGGAACAGGAGACGGTGGGGCTGGGGCTGGGGCTGGCGCGGGTGTTAAGTCTGCAAAATCCCCGCCTGTTCCAGTGGCGAGACCGGAGCTAATTTCTAGAAGTTACAAGTCACTTTTTATTAAAGAGATACCAGAAGATACACCTCGAACAGTTCAGAGTGACTGTATCAGAGGCACAGGACAACGCATGGGGTGAGGAGGAAGGAGCAAGCAGGGGCCCAGAAGGCACCTGTTTCCAACAAGCCCTTCTGATTTTCTTACCCCTGTCTACAAAGCACCTGAGAAAAATTAAGGACATTTATTTTTTAAATCCCTTTCATGGTTTCAAAAAATTCAAAACATTGCTAAAAATAAGCCTAACAAGAAGTATGCAAGAACCACTAAATAAAACTGGAGGACACAGTGGCAAATGCAGCCTGTTCTTGTCCTCATGGTCTTGCGGGGGGCAAACACACCATTCTAAAAAAAAGTTGGCTTTGCCCAAATTGATGTATAAATTTTCAACGTAATACTGGCTGCATTTTTCATGGAATCGAAAAGGTGTTTTAAAAGTTCACATACAAGAAATAAATATACTTTTTTTTTTTTAATTTACAAAGGATAATTTGGAAAAAGAAATCATGAGGGACTTGCCCTCGGGGGCATCCATTCACTCACTCGCCAGAATTCACCAGGCTCTTGCTCTGATGGCAGACGTGCCAGGAATGCCGTAGAGCCAGCAGTGTTTGGTGAAAGAGGCCTGTCACTGAAGGAGCCATTTTCTAGTGAAGGGAGGAGGCGAGGGCAAAAACCATCAGCAGAATCTGTGTGACGTCAGGAGGTAAGAAAAATAAACTAAGCGGGGGGGTTGGGGGGTGGAGGGAGGAGGACACAAAAAAAAGGAGGTGGGTGCTATTTTATATAAGGTGGTCAGGAAAGAACCTGAAGGAAGTAAAGGGGTAAACTGTGTAATCAAGTGTTTTATTTATTTATTTTTTAATGTTTATTTATTTTTGAGAGAGACAGAGAAAATGTGAACGAGTGGGTTAGAGCAAGAGAAAGATGACATCACAGAAGCTATATTTTCAGCAGGCTCCAGGCTGTCAGCACAGGAGAGCCCTCCGACGGGGCTCAAACTCACAAGCTAACCGTGAGATCGGCGACCTGAGCCACAGTCGGACGCTCCACCGACTGAGCCACCCAGGCGCCCCTGTAATCGAAATTTTAAAGAGTGATACTGGATAAGACAAAGCACTATAAAGAACAAAGTTCAGAAAGAAGCCTATGCACATGTGATGATTTGTTACATCAAAGAGTTAGCCTTCAAATCATAGACAAAAGGACGGTCTGTGGTAATAAATGATGATGGCTATCCATTCGCTTAGTTTAAAAAAAAAAAAAAAAAAATTATATTGGGATCTTCCCCTTATGATTCACAAATAAATTCCAGATGTATTAAAGACTCAACAGGAAAAAAAAAATCCTCAACTTTGTTTAGTTTAGAGGAAAAAATGTTCCTAACAGTGAGAAAGGTGCAGGCTTTCTTAAATAAAACATAAAAGCACTGAAAAAAAAGTGAAATACTTGACAGCACCAAAATTTAAAACTTCTATCTGCTAAACATACCATTAGAAATTAAAACACACAAGGGGCGCCTGGGTGGCGCCCAGTCGGTTAAGCCGCCTGACTTCAGCCAGGTCAATTCATGCAGCGGTCCGTGAGTTCGAGCCCCGTCAGGCTCTGGGCTGATGGCTCAGGAGCCTGGAGCCTGTTTCGATTCTGTGTCTCCCCTCTCTCTGCCCTGCCCCGTTCATATTTGCTCTGTCTCTCTCTGTCCCAAAATAAATAAACGTTAAAAAAAAAAAAAAAAAGAAAGAAAAGAAATTAAAACACACAAGACACAAAAAATATTTGTAACATAAGTAACAGAAAATGGATGACTACTCAAAATAGGGGCGCCCGGGTGGCTCAGTCGGTTGAGCGTCCAACTCCGATTCAGGTCATGATCTCACAGTTTGTGAGTTCAAGCCCCGTGTCGGGCTCTGTGATGACAGCTCAGGGCCTGGAGCCTGTTTTGGATTCTGTGTCTCCCTCTCTCTCTGCCCCTCCCCCACTTGTGCTCTGTCTCTCTCTGCCTCTCAAAAATAAAATAAATGTATGAAGCCTGGTGGCGAAGTCAATATGCCCGATTTCCGACTTCAGCCATTAGGTCACGATTCACGGTCCGTGAGTTCGAGCCCGGCCGTCGAGCTCTGGGCTGATGGCTCAGAGCCTGGAGCCTGTTTCCATTCTGTGTCTCCTCTCTGCCCTCCCCGTTCATGCTCTGTCTCTTTCTGTCCCAAAAATAAATAAACGTAGAAAAAAAAAAAAATTTTTAAAAATAAAATAAATGTAAAAAAAAAAAAAGAAAATGGGTGACTACTCAAAATATATCATAAATTCATATGGATCCATCGGAAAAAGAAAACACAGTAAGAAAATGAGGAAAGAATGTGAATGGGTAACTTCAGAGAAGAGAAAAAACATATATACAAATAGCCAATAAACATAGTAAGATGTGCAACCTCCCTAATTATCCGGGAAATATAAATCACGTCAATTAGTTTGAAAAAAATCTTTAAAAACAGGTAATATATTATAACTGCTATAAAAGTGGATACAGCTTGGCTAGCAATAGGGCAGTATCTGTCAAGATTGTAAATGTAATTCCATTTCTAAACATCTGCCTGAACAAACACCAGCACGTGTGCACCCCAGGAGGCATGTAAAAGACCCCTCCCCTCTACCTGCAAGGAAAGCCAGCCCATCCTGCCTCCATTCACCAGAAGAGGAAAGAACGGGGAACAAAGTTGTGCCATCGAGTGTGGCAGAGTTAAATAAACTATGCCACACACAAACCAGATGTTCAAAGCCTACTGTTACTGCCTGGAAAATGTTACTGTATCATTTTTTGGTGGTTGGGCAAGAGATGAGAACAATTTCAAAAAGTTATCTGAATTCCGTATTTTACTGCTTGTTGTAACCTAAATCAAATTATGACAGAATTATAATGGCAGAGAGCAGTAGTATATTACACAGAAGAATTTTCTACACATCCCTTGAATGCGTGTCCATCAAGAACTCATGATTACTCAGCAATTTTGACAAGTATTTTTAGACATTCTTATCCTACAATTTATCTGGTACCTTCCATGACAAAAAATACTCATGGAAACCAACTTCTAAAAAATTGTACTTCTCTCTGAAAACCAAATTAGTCTCAACCACCGAAAATAAATTTATGTGATTTTGCTTATATCTATAAGCTCCAATTATAATCTTGGTTCAGGCCAACTTGGAAAAAAATAAATCAATTATTGACTATTTACCAACTACTCCTGAGTTGAAAAAAACAAAACCAAAATTTAAAAAAATCGTGGGGTGATAAAGTCAACAGTTGATGGTTCTCATACAGGTTTACCCTGACATATACTATCACCCTAGAGTCTGCTGGTATCCCAGCAGATTCTCTGCCTATTTCCATCACTGTATTTATCACACTTTTCCCCCTCTCATTTGAGGACAGAAAATGCTAGAAAAGCACAAGAAAAGAATATTTTACCTCCAGGTATTCTGATCAGCAATACTTACCTTAATAATTAATGTGAGCGTATACCATCTTTTCGCTGTAACGTCAACATGTCCTAAAGCATATATGATCCATCCAGCTGCAACACACAAAGATTATCCTAATTGATATATTTTTAAAATCTAAATCACAGAATCACATAGCTCAGTGGGGATTCTCAGGAGGCATGTGTATGCAGTAAAGTAAACCTTAACAAAGATCCACATTTCCAGATCTACTACTGATTTAAAACAAAACATCCTTCATTCGGGCATGCATTCCACAAGCACATACTGGGAGCCTACTCTGAGACATATATCATATGTGAGCTCACGGGAGAACCAGTGAAATAAATTTACAAACCATCCCCAGTATAATGTGTTGGCTTCTACAGTTCAGGCGTAGGTTTATACTTGACTGGACTGGATATAAAGAAAAAAGAGTGGTAGTCAAAGGTCACCGTAAGATTTCCAGCTAGTGTAACTGCTTACATAGACAGAGCGTGAACTGAGAATTAGAGAGAGAAAACAGTTAATCTGGGGATATGTTCTATCTGAACGGCTGAGAGAAAGCAGATGAGATGTTGAGTGGGCAGTTTAAAACACAAGAACAGGGGGGACTAAAGACGCAGATTTAAATCATTAGTTCTAATTCTACCACCAACTCATTTTGAGACTTTGGGAAAATCGATTAACCTCCCTGGTTTGGACTGGTTTCTGGTTTGGAAAATCAGTGAGGAATGTTCTAGATGGGTCATGCTATGATTCTGCAATTCCTACTCTGGTGTCCTTATTACCCACTCTTTCTTCATTACTTGTGGAGCCCTTTCCACCTAGCAAGAGGCAAAGAGTAACAAACTATAGGAGAGAAGATTTTTTTCACTAATGCAGGACAAAGTCAAGAGACTGAGAATCCAGGAAGAGGCAGCACCAATACTGTTTCCACAGAGCAGGGGGCACCAACACCACAGTGAATTAGACAGAATTCAACATGGACACACTCTAAGCACCTCTCCTGAATAAGATGCTATTCTACATAAGACAAGGGCTGTTAAGATGAATGAAAAGTGTCAAATTATTAACTACATTGGGAAACGGGCTATCTCCATTTTTAAAAAATGTTTATTTATTTTTGAGAGAGAGAGAAGGAGAGAACATGAGTGGGGGAGGAACAGAGAGAGAGAGAGAGAGAGAGAGAGAGAGAGAGAGAGAGAGAGAATCTCAAGCAGGCTCCCCAGTGTCAGGGCAGAGTCCGATACGGGGCTCTAACTCACAAACCTTAAGATCATGACTTGAGCGGAAATCAAGACTCAGACTCTTTACCTACTGAGCCACCCAAGCGCCCTCAGGGTATCTCCATTTTAAGCAGACCAACCCCTCTCCTTCTACTTCCCTAAGCATACCAGCACATTCTTATAGTCTTGCTTTTTACTTACGGTGTTTCTTGAGCATTCTCTCCTCACTACGTCCACATCACCCCAGGCTATGCAAATCCTATCCTGACCGCCTAGCTCAGCTCCACCTGAAAGAGCTCTACACAACCTTCTTTTCCACAGCCGCCTCTCTCATTAACTCTATGATTTTGAATCATTTGGTGTTGGCTCAAATGTGCTGAATCTCTTCCCAAATAGATGTCCAAGCACCTAGAGATGAAGCTCTCTCATCACACAGTAAGAAGCTCACAGCATATTTCAGAGTAAGTCATGCGCTACATACAGAAGAAGTCACTTACCTAGGTCACCTGTAACTTTGTAGGTTCCATTTGCAAAAATCCAGAAGAAAACTCCTCTAGCGCTTCTAATCAAGATACCACCTTTATTTACTCTTCCCGCAATGAACACGCCTCCCTTCTCAGGAGTCTCTATGTAAACATCACACCTCACAGTCAGGTTGGACCTGCAGAGTGAAACTGTTCATTAGCACCTTTTATTATGCCACTCCAGGTAAGGCACAAGTGTGTCATTTCACAGCCTCATGCCTCCAAACTTCTAATTGAGGTGAATATGTGACTTGCTAAGTCTGTGTTTGTGGCAGGGATGGGCTTCAAGAATCTTCATTGATGGGGGAAAAAAAAAAAAAAGAATCTTCATTGATAACAGTTTTAAGTTTTATGTGACTAAAGTTAAGCCATTTCGTTGCCTCTTTCAATGAGTTACTGGAAAATAGTATTTACGGTTTTTAAGTCTCTTAAGAACACACTTCTTGGGGTGCCTAGGCGGCTCAGTCTGTTGAGCAGCCAACTCTTTCAGATCAACTCATGATCTCACAGTTCATGTGTTCGAGCCCCGCATCAGGTTCTATACCCACAGCATGGAGCCTGCTTGGGATTCTCTCTCTCTCCCTCTCTCTTTGCCCCTCCCGCTCTCTCTCTCTCTCTCAAAATAAGTGAATAAACTTTAAAAAAAAAAAAAAGAACACATTTCTGATCTATGATAAAACAACTTGTCAACCTAAGAATATAATGTTAAAAGAAGTCTTTTTTCCTCATAGGAATGCATAAAAGGTCTGTTTCCATACAATTCTGAAAAAACAATTTACTAAATTTCCATCTGCTAAGAGAAGCAGTGAAGACAAAAGCTTGGAGCCCCTAGGAGAACATACTTTGGAGCTAATATTTACCTTTAACTCAAGCAAGACTTAAAAACCCCAGAAGAAAGATCTAAAGGTATTTCTCTGCAAAGACAGAGGCAACTCTCCTGACACTACAGCAGGGGTTTTCAAATTTGAGCAGCACTGAAATTGCCTGGAGGGCTTGTGAAAGTCAGTCTGTCAGCCCCAGCCCACAGCTTCTGACTCAGGTGGGTTGCGCTGGGCTCTTGAATCTGCATGTCTAGCAAATTCCCAGGTGATGCCGGTGCCACTGGTTCAGGAATCCTACTCTGAGAGCCATTTTCCCCTACAGAGCATCCCTGTCCCTATAGGGACAGTAAAACCCTGGCCCAGCATCACTGATCAACAGGGGCACATCAAAGGAGAGGAAATTCAGCCAACCAGCTACTACAGCTTTAACAGTGAGCTCTGCTCCAGGCTTCTTTTATAAACCCTACTAGATGCCTTCTGCAATGATACAACCACCCCAAGCCAAAATGATCTCTGAAAATAATTTACCTGCTACTCAAACTTGAACTGCGAACAGGAAAGCAAGCATGCACAAAGCCAAGTAATAAGGCAAGCAATTTACCTAAAAGAAAACTAAGAATGTCAAGAAATGTATTTTGGAAGCGGGAAAAGTTAGATCTAGAATTATGTGGCTTTTACACATCTCAGATTTTTATCAGTGAATTTTGCACAATAAAATTTTACTCTGTAATGAAAAATATAAAAGAAGTAGCTACAACAGGCACACAACAATCAGGAAAATCCACGTTGAATCATCTAACCAAAGCTGGGCTACTTTACAGAAAAGTCCAATGCAAAGTTAACAGAAGCACAGTCTCTCTTGTACATCCTCCCCAGCAGAGGGAGCTGGTCTCTCTACAGACTGTCACCAGCAGGAAACTACTAAGGATCAGAAGTGCTCCATACATCCCCTACCTCTGTTCTGACTCATCAGAAGTGTGAATGTGTTACAGCAACTTACTCTATTTAGAGTCAGGGCGGGAGAAGATCTAACCTCCTTTGTTTACATCACATTCCAGAATAGAGATTCCCCAGGCAGAACTTGCCGGCAATTTTACAGCGAATGAAGGAGAATAAAAGCGTGGTCTGGTCTTCCACAGCCACAACCTCTTGGTCGTGCTAAGGGCACAAAAACCAGCCTGTGCAATTAAGCAAACTTAACCAAAGGGATGCAAAGCTGGGATGTGTGCAGTGAGAGGTCATTTTGTGGACCGTCCGCAGATCCCAACCAAAGCTCGCTAATACGAAGAAAGTCTTGAGTAGCCTCAGGAAAGCCTACCCTCCATAGTCAAATTACTGGGCTGGGACTCAACTAAACCTAAGTATGAGAGGGGAAGTCCCACCACAAATACGGTCCTGAAGAAATGATGGCTGTGCACACACTGAAAGCCAAGTTTCTAAAACAGCACTATAGGTAAACCACACTCATCCGCCGCTCGTCTTAGGAAGACGACAACGATTAAAACGAAGCAGTGAGGTGTAGTCCAAAGAGATGAGCTACGGCACCAGACAGTCCTGGCCTCTCACCCTAGTTCTAGAACTTACAAGTATAGGATCTCAGGCAAATGTTACCCGGAAGTCTTGGTTTCTTGATCTGTAAGGTGGGGAGGATGATAGCTCTGCCACAGGTAGTTGTGGGAAGTATGACCCAGTTTTCCTTCCCTCCTTTCCCCACGTTAGAGGGAGTCGCAGCCAGAAAAAAAGAAATGAGCATGGGACTTGTGGGGAATCTCCGAACAGACCTGGCTACTTTGAATCCAGGAGGAAATACTGGGAAAGAGTACATAATGAATAGGATGAGCCCAAATGTGAAAGGGTCTTGGAAGTCAGACACAGACGATGAGATGTGATTCGGTAGCTGAAGAGAGTCACTGCAGATTCCTGAGCAGGGAATCACACAATGAAAGCAGGGCTAAGAACGATGAAAACGATGCCTCTCGACAGGCATCACTGCTCTCTCCTGGTTCTTTCTCTCTCAGACCCCGTGGCTCTTTCCCTCTCTCCCCACTTTCCCCCTCCACCTCTCCCCACCTCCTTACCCACTGCAGCAGGAAAGAGGAGTGCTACCATCTCAATACATAAAATCTTCAAAGTTATGAATACTCTCGGTTACTCTTTGGATGGTGCTCGATCTCATCTCTCTACTATAATTAAGGAGTCTCTCGATATTTCTAAAGTCCCAGCCAGAAATAAGAGTTTGGGTTCAGAGACAGCCAATCCTCCATTGTACTCTAGGGCAGGCGAGGGGGAATGACAGTAAAGGCCGATCTGCTTCTCACTATTGCCATCTACCGTCACCTGGTAAACAGATTTTCCACGAAGGCTAAAACAGTGTAAGTCTAGAATGGATCCAGCAGGTGGCAACCCCAGATCAACAAATGAACTCTCCAGCAACTCCACAAAAACCCCACAAATCACAATGTCTATTTATAAATAAATCTTCAATTATAACTGGGTCCAAAAGTCCGCAATTTTTATACTAAAATCAATCTGTTCCAGCAACAATCACTATTAAATTGAGCAAATCTGAGGGAAGGACACTGAGGCATCATAACCGTGGCTTGTGGTCATGATATTCAGCAATTATCACACACTTATTAGATTCTTATACAAGGAAGACCGTTGAAAAGTCTTCACTTCAGAACATATTCGACAACATGAGAGGTTATTTCAGCCAGGTCTACATACGCACACCAATTTTACATACCATTTGTAATCTCCTATAACACTGATAGTGTTGTACGCATCAGCGGCCCAGGTAATGGGCCGCTGATTGAGAACTTGGCGCAGCGTGAAGCGATGCTCTCCAGGGTCTTCGATATTCGTAAAGTATTCAAAGACACCAGTCTGATCTGCAAAATTCGGAGCTTCACTAAAAAACGGGTAATCTGTTCAAAACACAATAAATTCTCCATTTAGTACAAAGTCTTCACAGAATCTCTGCTGATACTTCAGCACATTTTAAAATACTTTTGAAAAGTCCTAAATAAGTAAATGACACTAATAACAAGTGGAAGTTTAGGGTTTAGGTTAATATTGATTGATTTCTTTTTTATTTGAGAGACAGAGAGAGAGAGTACAAACAGGAGAGAGGGGCAGAGAGAGGGAGAGAGAGAGAATCCTAAGCAGGCTCCACACTCAGCCCAGAGCCCGATGCCAGCCTTGATCCCACAACCCTGGGATCAGGACCTGAGCCAAATCAAGATTCAGACGCTTAACCGACTGATCCACGCAGGCGCCTCTCAAGCTCCCTCATTTCTAAGTGGGCATGAGGACAAGAGACTTAAATGAAAGAATGTATGTGAAGTGTGTACATAAACCAGCAACTGGCAACGGCTCAATAAGAGATGGTTTTGTTATTTCTAGCATCTGTCAAATAAGTTTCTAAACCCCGGGTCACAGTCATCAGCTGGGAGATTAGAAAAGGCTCACCATATCAACTACAGAATTTACAAATTACAAATTGTCTTCTATTTCTAAAATGAGGCAAAAACAGTTGGGCCCACACTATGAATCTGTTCTTGGTTTTATTAAATTACAGTCTTACAATGCTGAAGGCTACAGAAGAGCAACTCTGGTCATCATCTTACAGCTATTTCACACTTCATGCTTTTCTAAATGCTTCCATATTCATCATTTGAGAAATTAAGAACCATATAAAGTAGTGCTACAGCCTGACTTACAGTGTTTAACTTTAGGTTTTAGTTTATTTTGTGGTCAACAGAGCATTACATTTTAGATCTGAAGGTTTCGAACTGCCCTTCATTCCTCAGGTCACAGAATAGCTTTGGTGGCAGGGGAACTTCTCTCTGGTTAACGAGGCCATATCTCAGGGCAAGGCCTCATCTACTGAGGGCAAGAACAGTTACCTCTGCCAACACAGAAGTCAGCAAAGGAAAGCAACAGGATTATGCCTGGCGGCATAATTCGCCAATTCATCTAAGAGGCCGCTTCAGAGAACTGCAAGAAAACAAGGCACCAAGCAACCCTGGGGGTCCCTGTGGTCCATGTCATGCAAACAATTGAGAGGAGCCCAGTACACAGTCCAAAGGGCATCGTCCTGCAGTTAACCAGGACATCACTTGCTGGGAAAGGGACATGAGACCCTGTGGCTGGGCAGTGACCCAGGGTCATCGGGAGCGGGTACCAGGAGTCTCCAACCAACCATGCTGGAAACAGCAGCCCTGCGGCGATAGGAGGGTCAAGTCACTCTCTCACAATGGCAGTCTCCCTGCCTGTGTCTCTCCTACAGCCACAGATCTTAGGAGCAAATACGAGAGCCAGCTGACCCTGCCTGTGAGGTCCACAAGCTGCACGTCTACTAATCAACAAGTTCCGTCACCTACTGAGTGACCTGGGGCTATCACCACGATGACCGTGCCTTCTCATGTGTCCAGCAGTACTGCTAAATTACCGAATATCAAAAGCTTTTCCAACAGGTTTAGGACAGCTCTTCCTAGAAAAGCAGGAGAGTGCAAGTATAAAACTCCCGGGCAGGGCAGACGATGAGGTGAAGTAGCCAAGGGGAGCACTGCTGCCCTCAACCATCAGGCCCCCGACACTGAAGAAAGAGAAGTCACTTGACCTCGGGGCTACAGGAGGATGCCAGGAATGGCTTCCACTAACAGAGAAGCGGCAGGGTAATAAGCCTCAGGCTTCACCAAAACCAAATTAGGATTATAGCTCTCATTCTGACATTGACCTCTATGCTTTTTTTCTGGCACTGAAAACTACAGGGTCCTCAAGTCGAGAGTCACCTTGAGGTAACACAAAAATGAGATCTCAGTTACCACGTGGACATTTAGAGCTACATTTTACAGCCACTTTATCACGCACGAGTTCGACACATAGAAATCTACCCGCTACTGGTTAGGTAGGTTAAGTTTTAGTTTTAAAAAAACAAGCAAAAAATGAAAAACTCACCAACATCGAAATCATCATCATACACCTGCGGGAAAGGCTGGGGCTCTGGAGGCGGCGGGCAGCTGCCCTTGCCCCCGCTGGTGAGAGTGGTGAGGGTGAAGAGCTCGTCTTCCTGCAGCTCCAGCGTGAAAGCACCACCGCTGTCGAGAAGCTGAGAAAAGAAAACGCGGAGGTCAAGGCCAGCTGCATTGGGCTCCTCTCATTTGGGCCAAATAACTTTTTGGAAAAAAAAAAAAAAAAAGAGCCAAACTCACTTCTGTTACAACTTCATAACCACTTGTGAAGGATACATCCAATACCAAGGTCTTTGCGATCTTTTTCTTAAGTTATTTAGAAGACTTTATAAAATTCTACTTTGTAGGTAGGACTTTAAAAGAATTTCACTACATGGAGGGAAGGATGACTAGACAACACCAAAACCTATTTCTATTAGTCTGTTCTTTTCCATTAGACTACAAGCTCTCAAAGCCTGTGTGTGTTCAATACATGTATGTAAGTAAGAGATCTGCCTATTTAGTATTTAGGAGTTTACTAAGGTGGAAAAGTCCATAAACAGCTTAACCAGCTGTTAAGCACAAAAAACCTTCTACTATTAAGAAAAACAAGTCCTGCTTCTTTCATGTTCCATACATATTTCAATTAGCAAGTTAGGTTTATGTCACATCTATGCTTTTGGCAACTTAATCTCTTTAAGCCACATCTCCACAAAATGAGGGGGGAAAATACATACCTCCTAGGGCTGTTGTGAGGATTAAATAAGACAATGTTTATAAAATGCTTAGCTCAGGGCATGACCTTCAAGAAACACTCCCTACATCACAGCTGTTCTATGCTAAATGTAGATCTCTGAAGACCCCAGAATCCTCTGCATAATGAATGTAGGCATTAGATGTATGCCCATTTTGTGAAATTTGAGCAGCTTTTTTTCCTACTTTGAATTAAAGGGGTTTATAGCATATCTTTGCTTTAATAATAAATTGTTGGTCAGACCTATGAAATACGTAACACCATATTCTGGCTCAGGTATACCCCCCAAATGATATTATTTTATTATGGGGAAAATCAATTTTAATATCCTATTTCTAGCAATTTATTGTACAAAAAGCAGACTGTTCATTTTTAGAATTTAATATATGACCAGTGTTCAATCACTGATGGTGACTAACTGATTCACAGAACATTAACAGTTTCCAGGAAAAGTAGATTTGTGTCAGTTACATTAAGTAGTGTGCCTACTTGGACCAATTCGTTCTTTGAAACATTTACTGAGGAACCCCCATGTGCTAAGCACAGTAGCAGGGACCTGAGATAAAAAGCTAAATGAGGCAGGTCTCCAATCCTCAACGTGCCCGGTGTGGTGAGGAAAGTGTTTAAGTAAGCACCCGTGCCTAGATGGCCGTGAGCTAAGACTGGTAGGGAAAGCTTCAGGGGAAGCGACACTTCAGCTGAGTTTTGAAGGAAGAAAAAGCATGTGCAAAGTCACAGAGGTGAGTAAAGTGACATGCCATGCTCTGAAAAATGCAAGAAGATTCGTGAGCACAGGCCACGTTAGCAGAACACGTGTAGAGAGAGGAAAGCAGTCTTTTACCCCATGAGGTGACAACGAGGGTCATGTGCTACACTAAGGGAGGCCAACTCACAGGAAAAATCACTGAGGGACTTAAGCAATGGATTGACAAAAACCAGATCTGGATTCTAGTCGCAGTGTGATGGGTGGCCCGGACAGAGTCAGACTGGAGGCTGAGAAAACAGAAGGTAGTTTCCAAAATCTTAGGAGAGAGGTAATAAGGAACTGACATAAGCAGTAGCCAGTGGGAATGGAGGAGAAAGGATCGTGTAAGAAAAACATGTCAGTGATAGAATGCTCTATACTTGATCAATGATGGTGTATAAAGAAAGAGTAGGTGGGAAAAGACAGTCGCAGGTGAGATTCAATTTTGTGACTTGGGCGGCCAAGGGATGGGGGTACCATTCACTGTGGCAAACTAGATACTAAGAGCAAACACACCTATAAACACACACACTCCTATTATGCCTTGAGGAGGATTTCTATAAAGGCGCGCGCACACACACACACTCACACTCACACCCGCTGGGAACAACTTTAGCTCTATCATACTTAAGCCACAAAATCAGTTATAAAATTAAAAATTCTTAATTCATTAATCAAATGTCTGTTCTCTTTTACTGTTTGCAATGTTTAAAATATATGAATTTATTTGAAAACTACCCATAGAGAATCCAGTTGTTTAAAAAGAAATCTCTTCGATGGTTTTCCAAGTCTGGTATACCACACCTGTAGCTCTGGTATTTCACTCTGAGGAGAAAACACACAAAAAAAGCATAGTTGAGTGGTTCATCATATCCTCTGAGGGTTTCCAAAATGAGTAAGTACCAGCAAGAATGAACCGCTGATAATGCACACTCTATATCTATTTGCCAAAGACCTACCTCAAGTCTTCGATAGCAACATTCTGAAAGTAGGAAGAAATTGTTCAAGCAAATACTTTATGTCCTGTAAATACTACAGACTTTTGGCAAACATTTAAAAAGATTCTGGTGCCTTTGCTTCAAAAATACTCACTATTGTACCTGTGTAAAATGCTTTTTAGGAATTTTCTGGTATTAATAGAACAATTCTTACATAATTAGTAGTCAGAAAAGGCACTGTATTTTCTGTATTCAAATCTAACAATAGGTAGAAATAACAAGAATCTTGTGCCTTTTTACATTGTTGTTGTTGTTGTTGTTTCTTTGTACAGAATACTGAAAAGATCAAAGTTTGAAAGTTCCCTAGACTACATAAGTGATGCTTCTACCAACAAGAACAACTTTGCTGCAAGTGACTTTGGGTAAGTGTTCTTCAAAGCCATGGAGAGTTTTGCCTGCTAGTGGCTTCCACGCTGTTTGACTAAAACCAGTCAGCAGATAGAAAACACCACTGCTTCTATTCATTTATGTACAAATGCTTAATAGCTGGTAACACACATAAGACTTCACTTGAGAAGGCCTAGCCTGTGATAAAATATATAAATTCTCAAATCAAAACCAAAATAAAAGTCCCACATATTTACTTACAAAAGAGCCCTTTAGAAGGAAGGTAGCAAACTGGTGCGACACATTGAAATAAGGCAGAAACGGCCGTATACACCTAGAATGTTTATGGCTCTAGGAGAAAAAAAAGTCATGTAAGTAACCCAAATGATATACAACCTATTATAGAGGGAAAAAAAAAAACAACTAAACATTTAAGGCCCAAGATTAATAGAATAGCACATATTAGGTGACAAATAAGAGTTTACTCCATATCGCTAAAGACTTTTTTTCTAGTATAACCTGTACTGAAAGTCTATTGAATATGCCTAGTCAGAAGTAAAGCTCCCTGGCATTTTGACTGAAATAAACTTTAAATTCACAGCTAAACTGCAGAGTCATTTTATATTAATTTTTATATTATAATGGTATTCCACGTAAAATGCATCAAATGAAAAGCAAATGCTTGTATGTTTTCACCGAAAAGGCATCTCATCTTAACATAACCTTCAAATACACAACTAAATTCAGTAAGTACATACAACCAACAGTTCTCAAATTGACAACATCATTTTTTACTAAAAATAGTTGCTACTATGGGCTGGGATCAAAAGAATTATGAGACATAATCCCACTTCAGGGGATTCAACAATCCCAGAGCACTGAAGCAGAAGGCCAGGCTTTGTGGGCAATAAAAAAGTTACAATTGTTGTTACAGATTTCAATGCCTCATCCTCAACAGATGATGTACAACTAGACAGAAAAGCAACAAGGATAGAGGCGATTTGCACAACTACCAGGAGCTGGCCTGGACTCACATCTGTAGACCACCTCCCCCAGCAAGAGCAGAGCGCACATCCTTTTCAAGGGCACGTGCAACATTTACCAGGGAGCACCATATTCTCAGCCATGAGAGAAGTTTCAACGTTCAAAAAGATTCAAGTCACACAAAATATGTCCTCTGACCACACGAGAGAATGAAATCAGAGATAAATAACAGAAAACCCTCTAGAAAAATTCCAAAATATTTAGAAACCAAATAACAAACTTCTAAATAAGCCATGTTTCAAAGAAAAAGTAAAAATAAAAAGGGAAATTAGAAAGAATTTTGAGTTGTATCAAAATAAAAATACAACGTACGATTTGTGGAATGCCACCAAAGGAGTACTTAGGAGCAAATTTACAGCACTGAACACTGATTACAGAAGAAAGATATGACACTTCAGCTTCCACCCGGAGATAGTAGGAAAAGAGCAAATTAAGAGCCAAAGTAAGCAAAACAAAGAAAAAAATAATAAAGAGCAAAGGAGAAATCACGTAAACAAAACCCAGAAAAACGAGAGAGAATGATCAAGAAACCACAAGCTGATTCTTCAAGAAATCAATAAAATTGATAAACTTCTAGCTAGACTAATCAGGAAATCAGGATAAAAAGAAAACACAACTTGCCATCATCAACCGTAAGAAAGGTGACATCAACACAAATTATATACGTATTAGAGGAACCACAGGGAAAAACTTCAGTAACTTTATGCCCAGAACCTGACCAACTTGAGTGAAATGGAAAAAATTCTTGAAAGACACAGAAACCCAAGCTCCCTAAAGAAGATATGGATAACCTGAATAGCCCTGATGGCTGCACTGGGAAACTCAGGTCGGCCTTGAAGCTTTGCTCTAACATGAAGCCAAGCGACCGCAGGCTGGTACACTGCCTGCCTGAGCACAGACACGTGCCCCCCAACACGCCCACGTGGCCCACGGGCAGAGGCCAGGAGACATGCAGTTCCAAACAGAAGGAAACCTCTGCACGGTATGAGCTGATCACCAAGGTAGCTATGCAGAGCCTTGGGTGGCCACACGCGATAAAGCCACAAACTACAGAATTTGTTCAGGAAAGTCACTAAGCAAATAAATGGCAGCAACAACGATAAAAAAGCAATGATCACAAATGCTAGACAGGAGAAAATCTGATTTCTACAGCTGCCACATTACATTATGTAATATGGCTAGTTTTCAGCAAATAATGATGAGATTTGTAAAACAAAACAAAATAGCAAAGAGTGGCCAACAGGAAGGAATGAAAGTGCTCGACAGAAACCATGTTTGACCAACACGGCTTTACTTGCCACATACTAGGCTTCTAATCAAAGACACTAAATCAGGTATTTAAATGTGTTCAAAGAGCTGAAGAAAACCACATCTAAAAAATGGAAGCAGAGCTCTACTTCCAGAATGGCAATGTGGGGAGCTCCACAAAGTTGCTCCCCAGCAAAACTGGTGGAAATGATTTTTAGAAAAATGGAAATGATCCTAAGGGCATGCAACAAATAAACTTTTATTTAAGAAAATCTGCTCTCAGTAAAAAGAGCAAGAACCCGTGGCATTTAAACCACGATCCACTCTGTCCCTTTCTCTGTTAGCCAAGTAACAGAAACTGCATGCCAAGTAGGGATAGCCAAGAACACAGGGCTTCCTCCTCCCAGCTCACAGCTTGAGGCTGCAGGAGCTTCCTGAGAGAAGCAGAATTTCAGCATTTCTCATCCCCCACCCCCTCAGCTACTTGATGCCAATGCTAAGGAGCAGCAAGTATGGCCAGGAGGCTGGGGGTTGGGGTGTGGGGGTGCTCTCTTCCTCTGCACAGCTCCCATTCGTGATTTCACCTTGGGATACTGAGAGTACCAGGGTGCCAAACCTCCACCCCTCACCCTGTGTTCCTAAAGCAGCAGTGTTACAAAGAGAGAACACCCTTGTCCGCATCCCAGCTCTAAACTTCAGCTTAGAGATTTTTGTGCAGAGAGACAGACAGGCTGTGAAACAGAGAACTCAGAAAGTCTCCCCAAAGAAACTAATACAGAGCAGTTATAGTTGGTAATGATGCTCTCAAAAATAATAGGGCTTCTGGGGGAAAGTAAATAAGAAGAGACTGGCAGCTTCATTAGATACATTAGCTTAACCACAACCCAGCTAGTTTGCTACAGAAAGACACAGAAACAGACAGCTGAGGAGAACCCTTTTGAGGTCAGATTAAACCTAAACATTAACCTCAGACACCACCTCTGCAAAGAAACTGGGGTTTGACTGGATCAGTTTGTGGAGCTATTTCAAGTCCCAGGGCAGGGCTAAAAACAAGAGAGCAATCTACCAGCAATTAACAGAGAGGTGTGATAAAGAAGTTCCTGGGAAACCACTGCCATCCCAGGGTGATCCTGCACAGGTCCAAAGCTGCACCCTCTAGGAAGCAACACCTGGGGCTTCATGGTGCAGGGGGAAATAAACCTCACTAAAATACTCCAGCCAAACACTAAATAAACATGCAAGCAAACAATAACAGACCAGGGGGGAAGGGGGACCAGGACTCAGAGCTGCTACATGATATCGTATAAAAGGTAGGGCTTTCAAAAGCAAAATTATGAGAAATTCAAAGAAACAAAAAAAATTTGACTCATACACAAAAAAGGAGGCAACAGAAGTGGCTGTGAGAACAAGCAAATGTTGGATTTAACAAAGACTTCGAAGTAGTCCATAGATAAGTTTGAAAAAAACTAAAGGAAACGGGCTTAAATAAGAACGGTAAAGGGAGGAATAATCACAATGTCTCCTCAAGTGGACGATATCGATAAAGTGAGTAAAATTCTTCATAATTCAAATGGAAATTCTGACGTTGAAAAATACAGGAACTGAAATGAATTCACTAGAGATATCAACAGTAGATCTGAACTGGCAGAAGAATTCGAGAACACGAAAACAGACTGATGGAGATTGTGCAACCCGAAGAAGCGGGGTGGGGGAGGGGATCAAGAAATGAAGAAAAATGACAGAACCTCAGAGAGCTGTAGAACCAGTAAGTACCAGCATATGCACCACGGGAGGTTAGAAAGTAGACAGAGAAAGAAGCAGAAAAAAATGTTTGCAGAAAAAATGGCTGAAAACTTTCCAAATTTGATGAAAAACAATCTACAGACCCAAGACGCTCAACAAACTCTACGAGTGAAAGCAAAGAGTTGTACACAGACACCAGTAAAAATGCTGAAAGTCAAAGAAAAGAAGGAAATCTTAAAAGCAGAAAGGGAAAAACTTACCACTTACAAGAAACCTTCGGTAAGATTAAAAGTGGATTCATCATCAGAAACAACGAAGGGTAACACATTTAAAATGTTCAGAAAACCAGTCAACCAAGAATCCTTTTTCCAGCAAAATCATCTTTCAAAAACCGAAGGCAAAGTACATTTCCACATAACCAAACACTGAATTTGTTGATACCAGATACAACTTTGCCAAAATTTAACATAAGTATTTCAGACTGAAGGCAAATGATCACACATAGTAATTCAAATCCACAAAAAGTACTGGCAAAGGTAATTATGCAATTATAAAAGCCAGTAAAACTGCCTATTTCTTCTTTCTTCCCATAACTGATTTTAAAAGCAATTGCATAAAATAATATGTATGTAATTGTATTGTTGGGCTTATGAAATATAGAAATGTGATATAATTGCCAATAATAGCACAAAGTAGCCACAGAGGGGAGAGGACTGTATGAGAATAAGGAAGTGTCACCAGATGGTGACAAATCCACAGTAATCTACAGCAATAAAAAAAACAACCAAAAATGGTAAATAAGATTAAAATAAATATATAATTTCTCTTCTTTATTCTCAGATTTTTTAAAAGACAAAATTATATATAAAGTTGTAATTATAGGGGCGCCTGGGTGGCTCAGTTGGTTAAGCGTCCGACTTCAGCTCAGGTCACGATCTCGCGGTCCGCGAGTTTGAGCCCCGTGTCGGGCTCTGGGCTGATGGCTCAGATCCTGGAGCCTGCTTCCGATTCTGTGTCTCCCTCTCTCTCTGCCCCTCCCCCGTTCATGCTATGTCTCTCTCTGTCTCAAAAATAAATAAACATTAAAAAAAAATTTTAAAAAAAGTTGTAATTATAACAAGTCTTGTTAGGCTTGTAACAGATAGAAGTATGATACATACAATAAAAGAACAAAAAGGGGGAAGGAGAATAAAGCTATATGTAGGAATAATATTTCTGTATCTCACTAGAAATCAGTTAATATGAATCTGAAGTAGATTCTAATAAGTCAAGATGTACAACCCTAGAACAACCATTAACTAAGTAACTCACTACAA